TGGGTTGTTGGTAGGGTGTCAGTAGATTGATACTGTAAGTGGGTTGTTGGTAGGGTGTCAGTAGATTGATACTGTAAGTGGGTTGTTGGTAGGGTATCAGTACGTGGATGGTGTTGGTGGGTTGTTGTTAGGGTGTTAGTAGGTGAATGGAATTGGTAGAGTGTCAGTAATAATGTGGTTTTGGTTTTCTATTACTAGTTAATTATTATATTATTATTTTGTTTGTATGAGTAGAAGCATCCAAAATCATCATGCAGTATGTAGCGGCAGTATGTGGGAGAGGCAAGGAAGTGGACAGAGTAAAAGAACAGCTTTTACAATCCAATCCTGTTTTAGAGGGTAAGTTTGCCACTCCCCTGAATAATTGTGATGTCAAATGCTAAGTCGAAATAATTAAAGATTTGTTTATCCATGTAATTCATGTGAAGTATAATGATATCTTTTTGATAGTGGGTGAACAAAGTCAGTCTCCAATTCAGGCCACTTGCACACACTTTAAACTTATATTATTACAACCACCACTCTCCATATGGGGCTCTTTCGTGAGGTTCCCTCCACACCCACTACCACTABATTCTATATTTACAACATACGACACTCAATTCATGTTGCTTTTTACGGAGGGAGAAAACCCTTGTGGCATAYGAGAGAACAACACATTGAACAAACTCAACTTACATATTATGATCCAGTTTGAGCCAGGGCTTGAACTGGGACCACGGTGGTGAGAGGCAAGCCGCAAACCTCTACGCCACCCATGCCACAAATATAATCACAAGTCAACCATGTTCTTTCCTGTGACATATTTTATAAAATGCCCTTAAAACCATAGGGACCCAGCTGATAATACTGCTTGAAATTTTGTTATTGAGTCCTGGAATTTTGCATTATTTCTCAGCTAGAACCCTGTAACTTTCAACTGATGGGTTAACTTGCAAAGGGAGGAAAACTGAAGAACCCTTCTTGCTCAAGGGAAAAGGGGAGAACAATCCATTTATTATTTTGTTAATTTTTTTAGCGTTTGGAAATGCCAAGACATTGAGGAATGACAACTCATCTCGTTTTGTAAGTAAACAAGGAAAAACCTGCCTAACAAATATTAAAATGTATTCAGTGATGAGAGGAATGATGAGAGGAATGATGAGAGGAATGATGATGGTAGGGGTGGTGGTGGTGGGTGGTGATGGCAGCAGAGACGATCCTATCAGTATTATCAGTAATGGTAAGCTAATGGAGACAATAATAATAAGAAAGACAGGTGATGATACTGATAATAGTGGTGGTGATGATTGATATTATCATGTTGCTTAAGCTGGTGACAATGATGAGAATAGTGTTAAGGATGATCATAGCAATTTGGACTGCTGATTATGATCCCTATGATTAGTAGTAATGATAAAAGGACAAATGTATAACCCAAATAATGAGATATAATCTGTATTGTATGATGAAGATTTAAATTAAAAAAGTGGTGTTGAAGCAATTTAAAGGAACTCAAGAAAAAAAGATGTGTTCCATATGGGATTTAAAAACTAAATCATCCATTCATTTATCTACAGGGCAAATACATGGATATAGAATTTGATTTCAAGGGTGATCCTGTTGGGGGAGTCATCACTAAGTGTAAGTCTTCTAACAGTATTAGTATATGTAATAGGACTCCATGCTGTCCAATTAAGAAATAATTAGACGAGGAAAATTCTGACGACTGACAAAATTGGATGAGGCTCTAGGCCTCCAATTTGGCAATCAGAGGAATTTTTCGAGTCTAATTATTTCTTGAATGGGGAGCATGAAATCCCATTACCTATTAATCATATAGCTGCCTGATTGATCCCATATCAACAAGACCTGTCCAATTAAGAAAATAATTGGACAGTTACCTATATGGGATTAATGAGAAGCTGTATAATAATATAACCTTTGAAGTAGTAAAACAATGACCCCTAAACAAGTGTTTCACAATAGTTTTTTCTGCTGTATTCTAATTCTAAACTATTTCGTCTATTGTTTTCATTTTCAGACTTACTAGAAAAGGTATGATATAAAGTGCTGTTGCCCTGTAGAAAGCAAAGATTTTATTTACAAGCATTACCCTGGTTTTCCATATTCTGCGAACTTGGTAGTTTCGAGCTGCACACTGAAATTTTTTTTTTTTTTTGTGCTGCTGTCAATCAAAAATAATTAGTTGGTATCTTTTACTGTATGTTCTTGACTGGCGGCAGTGATAAAACAATTTCACAATAAGCAGTTGAAATGTTGGAGTTGCAGAATATTGAAAATCTCTGTAATACCTTTATGCAGATTTCTAAAATCAGTAGAAAATGAGACAGTAGGTTTGCTTGAAGTTAAGGTCAGTTACAACAATCATTCCTGATTTCCACTCCCCCTAGTTACCATTGCTCTGTCACACCAACTCAAAACGTTTTATCTTGTACTCTAATCCTTCTAGTACCTTTTAAAAACAAAGAAATGTATAGTTGTTTTTGGGGCAATATTTTTATTCCACTGGGAAAAACTGATGTGATGGTTATTGATTCGCTATTGTCCGAACTGGAAACACCAATTAGACTAAGATGTGAGTTAGTCAGTGATAGAGAACAAAAGTAACTGATAATTATTTATAGAATATTTGAGATAGGGGTGCGCTGATTGGCTGGCTATCGTGTTTATATCAGAGGACAGAGACACGCTCGCGCGAAATTCAAAAATATTTTATAAAAGCGATATAAAACGTCCGTTTGTGTCTATATACTGTGATATAAACACTCTGGGAGCTGTAGAGCACTCGAGAAGTCAAAGAAACACTCAGCTATGCCTCGTGTTTCTCTTGACTTTTCTCTTGCTCTACAGCTCCCATTGTGTTTATATCACAGTATATAGACACACGCTCCGTTATATATTTCTTAAATAAACACTAGTCCATATAATTCTGACTAGTACGTTTAAATCTGACCTTTGGGGTCAGGATTCTAATTGTTAGGGCTAGGTAGGTTAGGTAATAAAGCAAGGATCTCCTAATGGTTAGGTAACAGCGGGCATCGTATCAATGCTTCACACAATGATTTGGAGATTTAGCAAGAAAGACCTTTTCATCGGGTAGGCGATTGGTAAATTCCTAACAGAAAAGATGATCAACACATGGCATCCTGAACTTGTCTCTTACATATTTAAAATTCAACTGTGTTTAAAGAGGGTGGCGACATAACAGCAACAACTGATAAACTTGTGGCCCTCTTATAACAGTAAATGATTGCAGATAAATGATTACTGATTTAATAACTAAAGACAATGATCTAATATTCTTTTCCTTGATTTAGTCACGTGTAGTTTACCAAACGAAAGGAGAAAGGAATTTTCATATTTTTTATCACTTGCTGGCTGGAGCCTCAGACGATATGTTAGGTAGGTATGATAACAATATTGTAATAGTACATTGCTCTGCGTAAGGTCTCTTCCATGGGTTTGCTTCACACTCACTACCAACTGCATTTAATATACAGTACAACACAGTCGTTCAAATGGCAAATGATTTTTATGGAAGTAGGAAAACCGGAGTACTTTGAGAAAAACCCTCGTCGTGAGGGAGAGAACAACCCCAGCACTTTGGAATGCAGGTCAATCTGGAGGACAAAACAATAGGTTCTTTTGTTTTGTCCCCCAGATCGAGCTGCTTTGACTTCACATGCAAAGGGTCTATATCGTTGGGTCGAGAATCAAACCAGTGACTCCATGCTTGAACTATGCAGCAGTGAATGACAGTGCAGTAATAGCGCGTGCCACTCATGCCGTCCAAACACTTTGAAAAGAGATTTATTTTAGATAGGTAAAAGATTTAATTTTTATAAAGTTCATCTTTAAATGGCAATTTAACAAAGCCTCTCCCTTTACAAGGGCGGATCCAGGCAAAATTTTTAGGGGGGGGCTAATTGAGTTTAGGGGGGAGGGGGGCTAATTGAATTTCTTCTGTCAACACAACGGATAAAAAGCATCTAATTCAGTTTTGCTTCGTTTTTTTTTCTGCTGAAGGGGGGGGGAGCTTCAGCCCTTCTTTGCCCCCCCTGGATCCACCCTTGCTTTTATTGACCAGCTCCAATAACTAATATTAGTAATACTGACTAATTTTTTTTTTTTTAATATTGTGACAGGGTTGATACATCTGAAGCGTGATTGTGAAAAGTACCGATACCTCAACCAAAGTGGATGTACATCTTTAGATTCTAAAAATGACAGGGAGGATTTTGCAATTGTTGAGGTTTGTACGATTTAGAATAATTTTTTCTTTCATTTATCTTTAATGTGTAGCACTCACAAAACTCTCTTTCTGATGTGTTTATTGAGGTTGCCATGGAACTACCATGAAACTATAGCTATAGCCCCTCCCTCCCCCNATTTGTTACTGGAACAGTGCATATCCAAATCGACGACAAGTCGGCAAACCCCGAGGCGATTGCTAATTTAGTAAAAGAATACAACAATACTAGTGAAGATTATACTATTTGCGACGCAAATGGTTTTGAAATCGTCTCAAGTCCAGGCACAACAGGTAATTATTAAATATGTATAATTTCAATGTTTTAGTGCTTCTCAATCACACGCGCGATAGCCTTAATAGAAAACTTTCTACGATTTCGCGCCTCTAAAAACAAGAAGCGCCGTAAAAAGCGTCCCAATTTTTTAAATAATCCTTGCTGAACAATTTAAACTTATCTCTTTTCTGCATAGGTATTGACTTTTGGAAAATACCATCAAAGAAGTTTTTGGCTGTGCCTGCGGCACGCTATTTCAGCGCGTCTAAAGAAAGAGAAGCGCCTCGTTACGGAAAAAAAGAGAAAGAGGTAATTTATTTGAAGAAATAACACGAGTTATTAGAAGGGTGCAGGGGCCGTGCAAAGGGAGGGGCTGGGGGGTCTATGGTCCCCAGTTTTTCCTTTTTTCCATACTAGTCTCGTATATTTTGCAATCTTAGCCCTCCCCCCCCCCCCTTCCCACTTTTTCTATTTTTTTTTTTCACCACCACTTTTCCCCTTTTCCCATACTAGTCTCTTACGTAATTTTTTTGTCCAATTTTAGATCTCCATTTTCCCCATGCTAGTCTCATATTTTGCAATCTTGCCCCCACTCTCCCACTTTTTAGAGTGGTCTGCAGTCTTTTGCATAGTGTTGCGGCATATTTATATGATTTTATAGGATTTTATCAACATTTTTGATTAATTAATTAATTAATTAATTAATCTTTTATTTTCTAATTTTCTAAGTATTTGTTGAGACCATTGAGACAGGTGTAATATATAAGAATTAAAGTTATTATTATTATTATTATTATTATTATTTTAACTAATTCACTGACAAATTACTTTTCATTGTTTTCCAGAAAGCAATGGATATCGTAGGTTTTAGTAAAGAAGAAGTCATTGCAATTTATCAACTGCTGTCTGCAATACTAAATCTGGGCAATGTCGAAGTCACAGAGGTCACTACGAGTGATGGAACAGAAGCAGCAACCTTCACTAATGATCATGGTAAGCTACATATATAGGTAATGGTACACCCCACCAACTTCCAATGAGTGCTCTGTTCTTAGGGTATACATGTAGATATACGAGTAATTGACGAGCGCTCAGTCCTAGGGTATACAACATGTAGATATACAAGTACTTGACATCACTGATGACCAAATTACAGATTCCTTGCCTTGCCGAAAGAGAATATACCAATTTGCACCAAACTTATACACCGAATCAAAGTATGGCGACCAATTTGAATGTTCATAAACCATTCAAACATGAATTGTATTGAATCTTGAAAAGACATCTCGCCTAATCTTAGTCAGTGCACGACTAAATCCCAGATAGCATTAGGATTTAGCATGCTGTGGTGTGCTTAGGGGGAAGCCAAAACCTGAACAAAGTTTTCAAGTCAAAGGAGAGACCCAAAAAGAATCTACTCTCCTGTAAGGTGCCAAGTCCAGAAATGAGTGCACCACTAGTTTCTAACTATCCTACCCATGTTAAATAGCGCAGCGCAACTGTGACGTCATAAAAACAAAGACAAAGGTGAAATTCGGACAAACAAACTTACAAAGTTTACTTTCAGCAGATAATTTTCACAGCCGATTGCAGTTGATCTTAGTTTACATGGGTTATTATTGTAAATTTAAGTAAAAATAATAAAATCGGTTTGTATAATCCTCGTTGTGGTTAAACAGAATGCAATGTTTGTCCGAATCTTTAAGCTATTTTTAGAATCAGTGCGCTACGCTATTATAGATCTGTCATATGCCTAGCCATTAGCATGATAATAATTTCTTGTTCATTCTTAATTGCAGTTCTTGAATATGCATGCGACCTGCTTCAATGTGAGGTAGAAGAACTCAAGAATGCCATGCAAGAGAGAACAGTAGAAACAAAACAAGAAAAAGTCCGAACTCCTCTCAATGAAGCTCAGGTACAACTAATTAGAAATTAGTCTTTGAGCCCGAATGGGCTATTGACTCATGAGGGCGATGAGAGCTAATAATTGTTTTAGTCAAATCCAACTACTCTGTCAAATATATAGATGGAAACAAGTTTTAAATTATAGTTAAATTTAAATGTTTTGGTTTTCAGAGCTGGCACTTTTCGCTACTAGTAGGATATAACTTATATCTGAGTAGTAGCTCATCCAATCAGAACCCAGTATTGACGATAGACCATAAGTTGGATTTGACAAAAATATAATAATCTCTTTAGCTATGCGTAATGTTTTGCACATTTCAGACCATGTTTCATTTCCTAGTGTATTATTTCTTTAACGTTGTGTATGGGAAGACATTTGAATATAGATACAACTCAAACATCTTATTCTCAAGGAATTGACATGTGGTCTGAAATGAGAAAACATTACGGTCTATTATAAAGAAGAGATAACTAGCTAAAAACTAGTGTGAGCTGCGTCGGTGTTTCTAATGAAACAGTAATGATAAAAAGGTAAATTATACACCATGAAAAGATGAAAAAACGTTTTGGACGCTAGTCCTTCGTCGGCCTATTATAGGTCTGTATTATCCAATGAATTACGGTATGCACTTTTCATCAACATATATTAATATTATAAAATATTAATATATCTTGATATGTATTAATATTATACGTTTCATTAACATATATCAATATTATAAAATATGAATATATGTTAATATATATATCAATATTATGCTTTTCATTAACATATATTTCATGAATTTGCAGGCAAATTATGCAAGAGATGCATTATCCAAAGCCATTTATCAAAGACTGTTTCACTGGATAGTAAAGAGAATAAATGACAGTATAAAGGTATGACAATTCCACCAATGAATATCTATATATTGTTTATAATTAGTATTATTAATTCCGAGAGATACAGAGAATGAGTGAGTATATTCCCAAAGAAATGAGTGAAGGAAATGAGTGTCCAGTGGTATATTGTTCAGTCGCCTGTCAAAGACAAAACTTCTCATGAACACTTTCCCCCTTTGTGAAAACAAAATGGYGGCTTTTTACAATTTGTATAGGAAATCGCACGATCTTCTCAGACAATTTGGAATTAATAGACGCTTGTAATGTTTTGAAAGTTCTTTAATTGCGATTTTTTGTTTATAGTTCACTCAACAAAATTTCAGTAAAAAATGCGAAGCGATGCCGTTCATCTTTGTCTATTTGGCGGCCGATTTTCAGTCCATCGCGCAACTGAAATGCATAAAAAAGATTAGTTCTTACGGCTTCAAAATTTTATTTATATGTTTTTTAAGTACAAAATGATAGAAAATAATTGTTTTGACATTGTTTTGGCCATGTTGTCATAGCGACTTAATTCGGTACTCCTACGGAATACAATTAACGCTATAATTGTACTCCTCTCGACCAATCAGAGTTGAGTAATTTTGTTGAGTGTACCATAAAAACGTTAATTTTCAATTTTTTAATTATTAATTATTTAAATTTTTTGTTTTTGTTTTGTAAAATGAGATGTAAAGCGTAATGACGGGGTTCAAATTTTATTTTTTCGGTACGCCAATGGGGGGACTAATTTGTCCCCGCCCCATTGTGACGAAATATCAAAAATGAGCTATTGCTTTCACTTTATGATTTTAAATAAATCACTTGAAATTGAATTATGGTTTAAATAATTATTTTTTAGGTAAAACATGGTGGTAGAAGAAAAGTGATTGGAGTACTAGACATCTATGGATTTGAAATATTCCAGGTACTATTATGTAATTATGAAATAGAAAACAGTTTTCTGTGTTGGATAGTCTGATCTAAACACATGGGATGGTGAGAGCTCCTTTGAAATAACAAGCACACATATTAACAAAAGTACTGTTTTTTGTTATTGCAAGGGTAGCACTTGATAACCAGTGGCTAACAAACCTTTGGCCCTCGTTCCATGACCGAATTGGAAGTATGTTTACTTATACGTAATGCCAGAAATCAAATCTCATTTCCAATACAATCTACAGAATAGGCTCTATCTAGTTTAGCAGTGCAGGGCTCAAAATAGCGTTTGGTCATCCATCAGACAATGTCGAAGCAGAATTGAGACGTCTTCAATCAAATATTTGCCTTGCTTGTCATTTTGACTAATAAAACCAAAGTATGACCAGGCTAAAACTAAATTGGCTGGTCATCATGACCTGCAACTGACCAGCAATTATTTCAAGTCCTGACATTGTCATTTAGTTATTTAAGTCTAGCCTTGATGTATATCATCACAATCTCTATATTTTTTGACAGGACAATAGTTTTGAGCAATTTATTATCAACTACTGCAATGAGAAACTGCAGCAAATCTTCATTGAACTGACTCTGCAATCTGAACAAGATGAGTATGTTAGAGAAGTAAGTACTCATCAAGCTTGTTAATAATCAGATCAATAGTCATTCCCTTGATTATTATTTCTTTGTTCTAATTCGAGTAACTTCATCAGATACATCAAAATATGAATGCAACTCAAACGAAGAATCTTTCTCTCAAAGGGATGACAATTGTCTGAAATGGGAAAACATTGTCCACATATGGATTGAGTTCATTCCCTTGAATATTATTTCTTTGTTCAAACTCAAACAGAATCTTACTCTGGAGAGAATGACAAGTGGTCTGAAATAGGAAAACAATATACCTGTATAGATTGAGTTTATCATTATACTTAATATAATTTTTTTCCCATTTTAGGGGATCGAATGGACTCATATAGAGTACTTCAACAATGCTGTCATTTGTGAGTTAATTGAAAAGGTATGTAAACAAATACTGCATTCGGATCTTTACTTTATAATCACTACGAAAGAACCAACAATAATAGCAGTAGTATCATATGACTAAAGCCTCGAAATCAAGTCTAAATTGATGGTTTTCAACCATTCACAAGAGAGTTAAATAACAAAAGACACGGCGGCCATGTTGGAGGATATAACAAAAGAATTCATTGACAATTCTTTTGTCAAGTCCCTCCAACATGGCCACCGTGAAAACCATTTGCAACAAACAGTCTCCTGCTGATATATGACTTTTTGATAACGTATCAATTCAGCTCAAGTTCCCTTGGGAAAGGCTCTGTTGGATGGCAAAACAAACTTGAGAGTCTCTCTTTTCTCATTCTGTTTTAAGACTGAAGACTCATCTCCGCAGGCTCAGCCTCGCTTAAGAGTAAATCATTTGCAAATATCAACTTTAATGTAAAGATTGTGCAGCTTGAACAATACCAATGTTTTGAAATCCCACGGACTTTTAATGGTATCTGTGAATAGCTGACTCATAGACGAGGCTATAAGCCTGTGCAAATGAGTCTGTGGTCTTCAAAAACAGCGGTATGCATTGAATGTGAAACTGGTGTATTGCTTCGTATCTTGAAATCGAAAGTATCTTGTAATGGAAAAAAAGCATTTTGGAAAAGGTCTTGGATATGACATTAGTATTCCAGCAAAAGTCATTTGAATAAAGGAAGTTTGAAAGTTTTTACCATCAAGTAACAGTCATGTGATTATTTCTTGCAAATGCCCTTTATGATTCACCATTTTCCATACATCGGTTCACTGGTCAAACACAAAGCATTCAGTCGAGGCTGCAAGGTTCAAATTTGAAAAATCCTTTGAAAGTACCTTGGTGCCTCGCTTGAGCGCTTTGTGTTTGACCAGTGAACCAATGTATGGAAAATAGGCTTAAAAGAAAAACCTTTCACTCTCCGGACAAATTAGTTTTAGTTTGGCCATACCTCATGTCTGGCTCAACATTACTGGTCAAAAGGACCAGCAAGACAGACATTTGACCAGACAAGTACCAATTCTTGCAGGACATTGTTCGATGACCAACTGTTATTTTAAGCCTATTGTGAGGAAATATTTTGTGATTTTTAAAATCTCTTTTCTTCAGAACCATTCTGGGATCCTTGCATCACTAGATGAGGAATGTCTGAGGCCAGGAGATGTAAGTATTTTTTAAGTCTTTCTTGGTGTACATGTAGCATAGTATTGTATTCTGGGTTGGGTTTTTTGTTTTGCAAGGTAGAGTGCAAACTATATATTGATGGGTTGCAAGCATTCCCAAGAGAGATTAAAAGACAAAATCATGGCGGCTATTTTGGTGCCGTTAATAATGGATGCTAGTAAGAATCTAATAAGAATTATTTTGTTAAATGGCACCAACGCTCCCGTTCCGAGGCCGTGATGACGTAACGTGCAATCGAAGAATCCGTGAAACAGCATAAAAAAATAAATAGCACAAAACACAACTATTTCTTTTGTTTTGAATTGTTTCATTAGTGCTATTTYGTACCAGTTAGTTAGTACTATTTCATGGATATACGAGTGGTGATAACTAGTGGAGCACTAGCGTGGACTGCGTCGGTGTTTCTGAATAAAACAGTAGGAACTTGTAGATAAATTGGATAACCGTAAAAAGCTTTGTGAAACTGATGTTTTGGATGTTAGTCCTTCACTTACTCCGACGAAGGACTAACGTCCGAAACGTCAGTTTCATGAAGCTTTTTACGGTGATCCAATTTATCTACAAGTTCCTACTATTTCATGGATATATTAAGCTTCAAAGTCATTGTTCTTGGCTATTGTTTTATTGTCTTCATGGCTCAGGTGCCTTGCAACACCAAGAAAGAGCCGTTTTTTGTCTTCTTTACTTGTCATTCTTGGGGTGCATGTTACGTCATAGCCTCATTAGCTTCTCTTGTTAGATCAACCAACATGGCGGCTGTTTCCTTGTTCTTTATATCTCATAGGAATTTTCAGTCGTGCTTGCACCCCAAGAATGTGACTGATTATAATTTGTACTCGATGGACAAACGTCCAAAGAAATGCTTAGAAGTTTAGAAACAGCCTCAATTATTCAAAAATCATACGAGACCCCTTGCATGTGACGCCATAGCAGCTCAATTTGGAGGACAAAACAAAAGAATTTCAATCTCCTGAGAATTGGAAACCTATTGCTTTGTCCTCCAAATTGAGCTGCGTTCCGACGTGCTGCAGGGGGTCTATTCGTTCGGGCGTAATGTTTTCCTATTCCAGACCAAGCGTCGTTCTCTTGAGAATAAGATTATTTGTTTGAGTTGTATCCATTTTTATGTGTCTTCTCTTGCGCAACCGTGAAACAAAGAAATAATAATTTAGGGAATGACACATGGTCTGAAATGGGAAAACAACATTACATTCGAGGTAAAGTGGTCTATTTGTGTTTTAATGTTGTGTGGTAGAACAATGTTACTCTAGCTACATTAATATCATCTTTATACTTTATTTTTTTAGGTTACAGACAATATTAATGTTACTCTAGCTACATTAATATCATCTTTATACTTTATTTTTTTAGGTTACAGACATCACGTTTTTACACAAGCTTGACAGACAATGGATTGGTCATGAACATTACGAAAGTCGAGCAGACAAGCGGTTCTTGTCTGATAACACCCTTGCACGTGACTGCTTTAGATTAAAGCACTATGCTGGAAAGGTTAGAACAAAATATGATGCTGAAGATTATTGTTATTGTACCTTAACCTCTGGGCTGATCTAAGTCAGGGCACGGTTAACTCACAGATTGAACCCTTGAACAACCTCTGGGCTGATCTAAGTCAGGGCATGGCTAACTCACCGATTGAACCCTTGAACAACCTCTGGGCTGATCTAAGTCAGGGCACAGGCATCTCACAGATCGAACCCTGGAACGACCTCTGGGCTGATGTAAGTCAGGGCACAGCTAACTCACAGATTGAACCCTGGAACGACCTCTGGGCTGGTGTAAGTCAGGGCACAGCTAACTCACAGATTGAACCCTGGAATGACCTCTGGGCTGGTGTAAGTCAGGGCACAGCTAATTCACAGATAGAATCCTGGAACGACCTCTGGGCTGATGTAAGTCAGGGCACAGCTAACTCATAGATCGAACCCTGGAACGACCTCTGGGCTGATCTAAGTCAGGGCACAGCTATCTCACAGATTGTATTGGAATTTAGTGTGTTAAATTTTGTAGAGGGGGGAAAGAACCAAGAGAACCTGGAGGAAAAAATCTCGATCCAGGGAGAGACCTAACAAACGCTAATCGCTTGCAAATTATGATGATTTTGGGAATCAAACCCCAGAGGTCAGAGGCAAATGCACTATTGCTATGCCACCCTTGATTTCCAAACGAATTCATTAAACACCATATTAAATGTACTTTATTAAGTGGTTGTTTTTGTTGTTGTTTTCTTCAGGTCACCTACTGTGTTAATGGTTTTATAGACAAGAATAATGACTTGTTGTACAGAGGTCTGTCACAGTGCATGTACAACTGCAACCATCCTTTCACCAAGAAGCTCTTCCCTGAAGGTAAGACCAGTGGAGGATCCAGGGAAGGTTCAGTGGAACTCCCCTTTTGTGATATCTTGTGAAGCTCATCCCCCCCTCTTGTGAAGCCAATCTTTGCATCGTTTTCTGCGTGGCGGTCATTTTGGAACCCCTCTTTTTAAAATCTTGGATCCGCGACCGAAAACTAAAGTTATTTGCCATTTCCCATTTTTCACTCTATAAATAGACTTACTCCTCCTTTTAACATCAGCCTCACAATCATCTTTTTTTTCTTTTCTACGCTGACTCGTTTTTGTACGTATATCTTTAGGTTTTATTTATGTCATCCTTACCCAAGCTAGAGATTAAAAATGCCATCTTCATGTCAATGAAACGTGGTCGGAAATGGATAAAAACATTAACCTCAGTCTAAAAGGGTCCATTCACTCATTCATTATTTACTGTATCAGGTTGTCCAACCAAAGCATCCAAGAAAAGACCACCTACAACAGGCACTCAGTTTAAGGTTAGCTGTTGTTGTTATTTTTATTAGTCACCCCACACCCGTCTATATTTCAAAACCGCAACAATAATGTTTCTTATGACAGCGGATTTAGACCCAAAAATCTCCAATCAGGATTCCCAATCATCATGTTTGTCCCCCCCCCCCCCCCCCACTTCCCTCTGTTCTCACACCATCATCAATAACATTGAATTCTCTGTCACCACGGGCAAAAGAAATGCGAGTGCAAAGCAATGTTTGCACGTGAAACGCAATTGCAAGCAAATTATGATACGCAAGTGCAGTACTTGTTTACTTCGAAAAAAAWTTTGATTTTTCGCGTTTGGGTTTGCTTTTACTCCGGTTTACACGTTAAAAATGAAAACGCAAGCACAAGAAAAAGAACATGTCCATACCTTGCATTAGCGCTTGCGTTTGCGTTGTTCGTGTGAACCAGGCTTATCACCACTCACGATTACCACGATAAATATCACTATCATGAATGTTGTTCAATAATAAAAACACTTAATACCTGTTCACAGACCTCTGTAGCTGAGCTCATGAAGAATCTTCATGCCAAGAATCCAAACTACATTCGTTGCATCAAGGTAAGCTCTGATGTAGGAAAAATGGGACACATACATAAAATAGGACAAATAAATCTTCGCAACTAAATAGTTCTCTACATGGCTCATACTGTACTGATGGAGTCCCTGTAGATTTGGCGGGAACTTTCGCGCCAAAACTCGCGCCTTTAACTCCTCTGTCCTTTATGACTCTTTTACATTATTTATACTGATGGGGTTCCTGTGGATTTGGCGGGAACTTTCGCGCCAAAACGCGCGTTCCCGCCTCCCCCGATCAAACCCAATATTTGCAAAAGATCAAAAGACTGCAGTTTATGAAATTGCTATTCTCCTGTGATTCGATAGACCTCTTTAGCTTGGACGTTTGTTTTCCCTTTTCATATCACGTGTCATTCTTTTGAGAATAAGATTCTTTGTTTCATTTGCATCCAAACAAAGAAAGGATACTCAGGGGAATGACACGCGGTCTGCTTTAATGGGCAAAACATTATTATGCCCAGTCTATATTAAGTCTATTTTCATTCAGCATTTTTTTTCCATTTTTTTCCTTCTTAGCCCAACGAGAGAAAAGCCGCTGGAGTTTTTGATGAAAGGCTAATCAAACATCAAGTCAGATACCTAGGGTCAGTAGTGATATTTTCTCAGTTCTTGCTGTCATGGATTTTGCTTTTAAATGGCTTATGGATATCTTTGTATTGTTGTTTCTCGCAGGTTAATGGAAAATATCCGCGTAAGAAGAGCGGGATACGCCTTTAGACAGGACTACTCTGTTGCCCTACAAAGGTACTTGTATGTATTTCTTTTGAGTAGTAATAATGATCGACTTCGTTTAAAGAGGGTGACACACGACAGTCGCAACTGCACTGAGAAACTGTGGCCCTCTACGTGAGACGGGACCGACATCTTACATGGTCTTCCGAGCAACGGCGAAGGTCTAACCATTTGCAGACATTGTTAGAGCAAAGGCAGCACCAACTGCAGCAGCCAACTAGAGAAAACTGCTTTATACCTTTTAAAATAACGAGCGCACAAATTAACGCGGAAACATTCTCTTTTATTTTTCGTTTGAAAGAGCAAATTCAGAGCGCGTAAAGATTTCACAGTCATCTAAAATGGCATCTCGACCAATCAGAGCACATGTTAGAACTCAGTTATTTTATACTATCTTAACTATCACGTGGAAAAAAACTTAAAATGCCGATATCTTTACAGGTATAAAATGCTGTGTCCAAAGACATGGCCACAATGGAAGGGTGAACCTCGAGAAGGAATTGTTGAACTTTTGAAGGTAAATTTGAGAAGGCTTTAGACCGGTCTTGAGAAGGCTTTAGATCGGTCTTGAGAAGGCTTTAGACCGGTCTTGAGAAGGCTTTA